CGTCATTCAAGTCACTGCTTACCTACAAGGTGTGTTGTCCTGCTGTGTGGTAACATACCGAGTCATCCAGTGCAAGGCAAAAAAAATAGAAGCATAGAAGAGTGACAGCATAGAAAAGACCAAGCGGTCCATCAAGTCTGCCTTTTTTTTAAATATAGTCAGGTCCATAAATATTGGGACATCGACACAATTCTAACATTTGTGGCTCTCTACACCACCACAATGGATTTGAAATGAAACGAACAAGATGTGTTTTAACTGCAGACTGTCAGCTTTAATTGAGGGTATTTACATCCAAATCAGGTGAACGGTGTAGGAATTACAACAGTTTGCATATGTGCCTCCCACTTGTTAAGGGACCAAAAGTAGTGGGACAGAATAATATTCATAAATCAAACTTTCACTTTGTAATACTTGGTTGCAAATCCTTTGCAGTCAATTACAGCCTGAAGTCTGGAACGCACAGACATCACCAGAGGCTGGGTTTCATCCCTGGTGATGCTCTGCCAGGCCTCTACTGCAACTGTCTTCAGTTCCTGCTTGTTCTTGGGGCATTTTCCCTTCAGTTTTGTCTTCAGCAAGTGAAATGCATGCTCAATCGGATTCAGGTCAGGTGATTGACTTGGCCATTGCATAACATTCCACTTCTTTCCCTTAAAAAACTCTTTGGTTGCTTTTGCAGTATGCTTTGGGTCATTGTCCATCTGCACTGTGAAGCGGCATCTAATGAGTTCTGAAGCATTTGGCTGAATATGAGCAGATAATATTGCCCGAAACACTTCAGAATTCATTGTGCTGCTTTTGTCAGCAGTCACATCATCAATAAATACAAGAAAACCAGTTCCATTGGCAGCCATACATGCCCACGCCATGACACTACCACCACCATGCTTCACTGATGAGGTGGTATGCTTAGGATAATGAGCAGTTCCTTTCTTTCTCCATACTCTTCTCTTCCCATCACTCTGGTACAAGTTGATCTTGGTCTCATCTGTCCATAGGATGTTGTTCCAGAACTGTGAAGGCTTTTTTAGATGTCGTTTGGCAAACTCTAATCTGGCCTTCCTGTTTTTGAGGCTCACCAATGGTTTACATCTTGTGGTGAACCCTCTGTAATCACTCTGGTAAAGTCTTCTCTTAATTGATGACTTTGACACACATACACCTACCTCCTGGATAGTGTACTTGATCTGGCCAACTGTTTTGAAGGGTGTTTTCTTCACCAGGGAAAGAATTCTTCGGTCATCCACCACAGTTGTTTTCCGTGGTCTTCCGGGTCTTTTGGTGTTGCTGAGCTCACCGGTGCGTTCCTTCTTTTTAAGAATGTTCCAAACAGTTGTTTTGGCGACGCCTAATGTTTTTGCTATCTCTCTGATGGGTTTGTTTTGTTTTTTCAGCCTAATGATGGCTTGCTTCACTGATAGTGACAGCTCTTTGGATCTCATCTTAAGAGTTGACAGCAACAGATTCCAAATGCAAATAGCACTCTTGAAATGAACTCTGGACCTTTTATCTGCTCATTGTAATTGGGATATTGAGGGAATAACACACACCTGGCCATGGAACAGCTGAGAAGCCAATTGTCCCATTACTTTTGGTCCCTTAACAAGTGGGAGGCACATATGCAAACTGTTGTAATTCCAACACCGTTCACCTGATTTGGATGTAAATACCCTCAAATTAAAGCTGACAATCTGCAGTTAAAGCACATCTTGTTCGTTTAATTTCAAATCCATTGTGGTGGTGTATAGAGCCAAAAATGTTAGAATTGTGTCGATGTCCCAATATTTATGGACCTGACTGTATGAAGTGTTAACATTTAACTCCCGGAATGCCGGTGGTATAGCACTATGGTGGAGAGTCACACAGATATTCACACTCAAGCATGTTCTGACATGTTCTAACTAGCACTTGCCTGGGTTGCAGACCAGTTGACTCTGTCTTTACAGAGTAGTAGAAGAAATAACCTGTGTGTGTTGCGCTGTTGGCAGGAAAATGAGTGACATTAATCTGGAGCAGCAGATTAACATCTAATTTTTGCGTGAAAATTGGCAAAAGTGCAAGTGAAACCTCAGCTCTGTTACAGCAGTCTTATGATGAAAATTCCATGAAGAAATCAAGTGTTTTTGAATAGCACAGGTGCTCTAAGGAGGGGCAGGAAGATGTCCACAATGACAAATGAATGAAGATATGGGCAGCCAAAACTGCAAAGGACGGATGCAAATGTGGACAGAGTGTGATCCCTAGCATTCTCAGATCAAAGACTGAGTTTGTGAATGATGGCACAAGAATTGAACATGAACAGGGAACAGTGCATCAGATTCGAAAAGAGAATTTGGGAATGAGAAAGGTTACCGAAAATATGGTGCCTCGAAACTTAACAGATGTTTAGAAAGAATGTCATCTTTAAATTTCATCTGATCTTTTGAAGAATACAGAGGGGATTGATAGAGTTATTACTGGTCCATTCCGTAATTAAATTGTCACACCTCGTATGTTTTTTTATGCAACAAGTCCAACATGCCCATGACCTAATTACTCATGTAGCTCCCCCATGTCTCCAATGGATTTGAATTTGGTTCTCCTGGCACATTTGCCTTTTGAACCCCTCAGGGACATTTCCCTTTCCACACTTACTGACAAAGTTGCTTTCCTTGTTGCCATTACCTCTGCTAAATGTGGTTCAAAGTTGGTGCTCTTATCCTGTAAAGAAACAATCTGGTCTTGCAAACAGACAAGGTAGCTTTGAGGTCTAGAGCTTGTTTTGTTTATAAGGTTGCATCAGCAATTCATCTGAACCAAAACAATATTTTTCCATCCCTCTGTCATCCACCTCCAGTACATCTCTTCAGATTTTCCTTCATTGCCTGGATGTGGTTCGTGCGGTGTGTGTTAACCATGCAGCCCCTTCCAAAAACCCCAGACTCGTTTATTTTCATCCATGACGGTCCCTTTAAATGGAAACTAGCTACTAGCACCACTATTTCTCACAGATCATTCAGGCTTATGGTCTTAAGGATCAGGTTCCATCCCTTTGAATCAAAATACACTCTACTAGATTTGTAAGTGCTTCTCGGACTCGTTGGCATCAGGCAACTTTTTCCCAGATTTGCAAAACTGCTACCCTGTGTTCTGTTCATATGTTTTTTAAGTTCTACCAGGTAGACATTCAGGCCTAATCTCATGCCAGTTTAGAGTGTAAAGTCCTTCAGGGGGCTCTTTGAGCTACAGGCAACCCTTAGTTCTGCTGTTGTTTCTTGTGGGCTTGTAAGTGTTATGTTGCTGTTGTCCACCCCTCATTTGGATTTTTGTACTCATAATTTAATTCTTGGAATTCTTTCAGGGACACAGGTCTCACCCTTCTATGTCTTTGGTTTCCTTTTATTGCTAAATTACAAAAAAATGAAGCATGCTGAAAGTGGGAGGGGTTACACCAGGTTGATCACTGATTTTTGTATTTGCAAGTGTCCAAATCATTCTGTAAATTACAGTATAACCCAATTGTCTCTAAATCCTAATGTCAAGAAAATAACAATTTTTCTACATACAAATATGAACACACATGGGTGTTTGATCATCCTAAAAGAAACCTGTAATGATAAAACTATGGTAGCTGACATAGCTGATTTGTTTTTGTAGTTATATTTTGTCATAATACATAATGCGCTTCCTGCTTTGCGCTTTTTTGTGCAAGGGTATGTTTAGGGTGCTAATGTCCTTTACAAATCTCTTTTTGGCAGTGGTGCACAAGGATTGTAGAACCTCAGTGTAAGCCTATTCAGATTAATTATATATTGATTTACTGAACAGAATGCTAACCCCTGGTAGCTTATCAATGTTCACATGCTGACTGCATTGCCTAGCTTACATAGACAATAAGTCAATGCATGAAATATGAAAATACTGTATGGTAAGTAAGCAATTTGAAAGTAAAAGCCACATTAATTATTGCTATCAGATCAAATTTAAAAACTCAAAATATGTTAGTAAGAGTAGACTAAGTTTTTTTTGTATTTTGATTCTTCACCATCTGGAGCAGAGGGCTACATTTCAGTAGCTCAGTAGACTCTGAGGGCTTTCTTCACTCAGAAAACATAAGAAACAATGCACACTAATTTCTGTAACTATTTCATACAAACTGATGGGATATATTTTCTCTTTGCTTCCAAAGCTCTACTCCATAGAAGTCGTGTTGGTCAACAAACCTGAAATAGTTTTATGAATTTTTTTTTTTTTTAATGCTACCTATACCATTTAAGTTGTGTCTAAACAGGTAGTCCTGAGGCACAGCTGGCCATATAGACAAAGTATTTCTGACCCATTATGCTATAATGAGGCATAAGCATATTATTTAGAATTGTTATGGATGACACAACATTTCTTCCGAAGTATGCCTGCAATATTCCACAAATTAAAGCCCAACTCCAGCCAAATATTTTTGTTTCAGATTTAGTGGAGAATACAGGATACTAGGGATAATCTATCCAATAAGGATGCAACAATAGGATGCAACAATAAAACCTGAAATAAAATATTTTTTTCCTGAGCGTATTAAGGGACACAGCCTCCTCCCCTCTTTTTCGTTAGCCCTGTTGTCTATGCTGGAGTTTTTTCACTTATTAAACAACTGGCCACAAACTAAAGCTGTTTAGCAAAGGTTGAGTTTAACCACTAGGTAGTGCATTTTTTTCACTATTGCTAGAGAGCTTTAGCTAATGGCCACCAGTTCAAAGAGTCAAAAACAAACACAAGTTTCAAAGCACACTTACCAGTTAGTCGACAAAAAAAAAAAAAGAAAAAACAAATTACTCTTCCAACAATTTACATTAAAACAGGTCTTAGTTGTGTACATTTGTAAGGGTTTGCATATGTATTTTTGATGCAGCTACTATTTGGCAGGTTAGCATAAAAACCCACATGTCCAATGACTGAAGCTGTGGTACTCAATGAACAATAGAGAAATTAGAATTTTGACTGGCAACTCATGCTTTGTGACTCACTCTTTGCAGTTCCTGGTTCTTTTCTTCCAGCTGTGCTTCGAGCTGGCGGAGCCTCTCTTCAAAATTTCCATGCCGCTCTTCAGCCTTTAAGAAAGAGAAAGGATAATAGATGTATTAGTTGGGAATTACTGGTTCTTTAAAATTTCATAATTATTAACAAAGAATTACGGAAACATGATTGTTAAAGACATCAAGAACAGATTCCGCACCATATACGTCAGTAAACATTTACATACTCTTTAAAGTTTATGTTTAAGATTAAAAATACTATCTTACTTTTTCATTTTGTTTTTTTTAAGTCACGTAAATATAATACATTGCAAAAGAATATTCTGCATTCTCATTTTCTGTCAGTATATTAGACAACAGGCTGCTTTTCACATGTTCTCTAGGCTCTTCTTAACTGCTTTGCTGAAAAAGTCTTTATAAAGAACTCATGTTGTAATTTACAAACACACAACTGAATGAGTCAGAGTCGCTGAAAGTGTACAGTAATTACAGTTGCAACAAAAAGTATGTGAACCCATTGGGATTACGTGGAGTTTTGCATGAATTGGGCATAAAATGTGCTCTGAACGTCATCTAAGTCACAACAATAGAAGAACACAGTCTGCTGAACATAATACTACACAAACATTAGATGTTGCCATGGTTTAATTGCACATAACATGTAAACATTCACAGTGCAGGGAGGAAAAAGTATGTGAGGCCCTAGCTTAATGACTTCTCCCAGAGCTAATTGGAGCCAGGAGTGAGCCAACCTTGACTCCAATTAGTGTGATGATATTGGATGTGTTGCTGACAGCTGTCCTGCCCTTAAAAAACACACACCTGTTTTGGGTTTACTGGTTTCAAGAAGCACTGTCTGATGTGAACCATGCCTCACACAAAAGAGCTCTTAAAAGACCAACGATCAAGAATTGTTGACTTGCATGAAGCTGGAAAGGGTTACAAAAGTATCTCCAAAAGCCTTGATATTCATGTGTCCACGGTAAGACAGACTGTCTACAAATGGAGAAAGTTTAGCACTGTTGCTACTCTCCCTAGGCGTGGTTGTCCTTTAAAAATGACTGCAAGAGCACAGCGCAGAATGCTGCATGAGGTAAAGAAGAATCCCAGAGTGTTAGCTAAAGACCTACAGAAATCTCTGGCACATGCTAACATTTTTGTTGACACATCTACAATAAGGAAAACATTACACAAGAATGGAGTACATGGGAGGACACCACGGAGGAAGCCATTGCTGTCCAAAAAGAATATTGCAGCACGTTTGAAGTTTGCAAAAGAGCACCTGGATGTTCCACAGCACTACTGGCAAAATATACTGTGGACAGATGAAACCAAGATTGAGTTGTTTGGGAAGAACACACAACACTATGTGTGGAGAAAAAAAGGCACAGCACACCAACATCAAAACCTCATCTCCACTGTAAAACATGGCGGAGGGAGCATCATGGTTTGGGGCTGCTTTGCTGCCTCAGGGCCTGGACGGATTGTTGTCATTGATGGGAAAATGAATTCCAGAGTTTATCAAGACATTTTGCAGGAAAACGTACGACCATCTGTCCGCCAACTGAAGCTCCGCAGAGGATGGGTGATGCAACAGGACAATGACCCAAAGCATACAAGTAATTCAGCAAAACAATGGCTGCAACAGCACAGAATACGCCTTCTGGAGTGGCCCAGTCAGAGTCCTGACCTCAACCCGATTGAAATGCTGTGGCATGACCTTAAGAGAGCGATTCACACCAGACATCCCAAGAATATTGCTACACTGAAACAGTTTTGTGAAGAGGAGTGGTCAAAAATTACTCCAGATCGTTGTGCAGGTCTGATCTGCAACTACAGGAAATGTTTGGTTGAGGTTATTGCTGCCAAAGGAGGGTCAACCAGTTATTAAGTCCAAAGGTTCACATACTTTTTCCTCCCTGCACTGTGAATGTTTACATGTTATGTGCAATTAAACCGCAACATCTAATGTTTGTGTAGTATTATGTTCAGCAGACTGTGTTCTTCTATTGTTGTGACTTAGATGACGTTCAGAGCACATTTTATGCCCAATTCATGCAAAACTCCACGTAATCCCAAGGGGTTCACATACTTTTTCTTGCAACTGTATATGGAAATAATTGAATAGAAAAACACAGACATGCTCGGCAGAAAAGAACAGCCCTACAATTCTTCTACTGCACTTCTATGAGAATTTTCATACAAGTTAATACCATTGTCGGTGACATCACGATACACAACTTCGTGCAAGATCGGATGATCGGTCATCCGATTTTCTCATAGTGTGTACTAGGCTTAACTCTAAAATAAAGTTTTTAATTAGAGTGAGAGGGTCTGACAGAAAACATCTTCTGCTGTGCTCTTTCTTTATAAAATTTATAGTACCTGCAAATCCTGTCTCATGGGACAACTCTCATTCCTAAAATAAAGACTTTATATGAATAGTAACAAAACCAATATAAAGCACAGAAAATGTCCTCATTTTTTTGCATACGCCTGTACTCTATACTGGGAGACTGTATGCAACACCTGGGCTTTTTGAGCATGAAAATGATGTTTGAATTATGTTGCACAGGCTTAGATGCTTGTGTGCAAGAGGGCTAATATGAAACCTTATACCAGGCTATATCCTTATTATGAAATGTACAATTCCTTTTGACAAGATGGACACCACAAATTATTATATAGCAATAAAAATTAACAGATATTCCAAATGCAGCAAACAGGTACTGAAAACACTGGCAATGACACAGTAGTGAAAAGTTTAAGAGAAGCAGCCTAACATTTGAAATACTGATACCAGTGGCAAGAAAGCAGTGTTGCAATGACACTCCAGCATAGAAATAGAGGCATGGGTATAATCTAAGCTTTCTTTTTTGTCAAGTCTTTTCACAAAACAGCTAGATTTGTATTACCAGAAAGTTAGTTTACATATTTGTAGCAAATCATCTCCTGTCTGCAAGTGGTAATTGTGCAATAGTCATTAAAAATCAACAAAAAATATTTATTATTATACAGTATTTATAAAGCGCCAATAGTTCGCTCAGCGCTGTACATTACAAAGGGGGACAGAACATGTGACAGAACAATAACAATACAATGCAAAACATGAGGGGATCAAGGGCCCTGCTCTTTCGAGCTTACAATCTAGGAGGGAGGGGATGGTGGCACAGGAGGAGATAGCTGTGGGGGATGTGGTGGTAGGAAGAGTGGAGGAGGTTTGCAAGTTAGCAGGGGGTGGGGTAGGCTTCCCTGAAGAGGTGGGTTTTCAGGGTGCAGCTAAAGGAGAGGAGAGTAGGTGATAATCTGATGGGTTGGGGCAGGGAGTTTCAGAGGATGGGTGACACCCTGGAGAAGTCCTGGAGGCGGGCATGGGAGGAGGAGACCAGGGAACTAGAGAGAAGGAGGTCTTGTGAGGAGCAGAGTGTGCGTGCTGGGTCATACTTGGATATTAGGTCAGTGATGTAGTTCGGGGCAGTATGGTAGACAGCTTTGTACGTCAGTGCTAGGATTTTGAATTTGATCCGTTGCGCAATCGGAAGCCAGTGGAGGGATTGGCAGAGGGGGGTGGCGGAAATGGAGCGGTTGGAAAGGTGAATGAGTCTGGCAGCCGTATTCAGGATCGACTGAAGCGGGGATAGCCAGCGGCAAGGCAGGCCAGTAAGGAGGGAGTTGCAGTAGTCGAGTCGTGATATGATGAGGGAGTGGATGAGCTGTTTAGTGGTTTCTGGGGTTAGGAACGTGCGTATTTTGGCGATGTTGCGGAGGTGGAGTCTGCACGAGCTCGTTAAAGATTGGACTTGGGGCTGGAAGGATAGGTTGGAGTCCAGAATGACACCAAGTACTCTGGCCTGAGGGGTGGGTTTGATGGTGGTGTTGTTGGACATGGTGGAGAAGTCAATGGGGGGTGGTGTGCGGGCTGGGGGGAAGACAAGAAACTCGGTTTTGGAGAGGTTCAGTTTAAGGAAGTGGAGCGACATCCAGTCAGATATGTCGCTCAGTAGGTGTGTGATTCGGGCGGAGACTGAGGGGGTGAGGTGGGGGGTTGAGAGATAGATTTGTGTGTCATCGGCATATAGGTGGTAGTTGAAGCCGTGAGAGTGTATGAGTTGGCCAAGGGAGGCTGTGTAGATGGAGAAGAGAAGGGGCCCGAGGACGGAGCCTTGAGGGACCCCAACAGAGAGGGGGAGTGAGGGGGAGGCTCTAACGCTGAAAGAGTGTTGTGACAGGTAGGATGAGAGTCAGGAGAGAGCAGAATCTCTGAGGCCAAGGGAGTGTAGTTTTTTGAGGAGGAGGGGGTGGTTGACTGTGTCGAAGGCCGCGGAGAGGTCAAGGAGTAGCAGCACTAAATAGTGGCCATTAGCTTTGGCGGTTAGCAGGTCGTTGGAGAGTTTAAGTAGGGCAGTTTCGATGGAGTGTAGGGGACGGAAGCCGGACTGTAGCGGATCGAGGAGGTTGTTGTCGTTGAGGTGAGAGCTTAGGCGGGTGTAGACTAGGCGCTCGAGGAGTTTGGATGTAAATGGGAGCAGGGAGATGGGTCTGAGGTTGTTTGGGTCATTGGGGTCCAGGGAGGGCTTTTTAAGTATGGGGGTGATGTGTGCATGTTTCAGAGGGGAGGGGAAAGTGCCGGAGGAGAGGGAGAGATTAAAGATGTGGGTGAGGGAGCGTAGGATGGAGGGGGAGGGAGGTCGTAGGAGTTGTGAGGGGATAGGGTCGAGGGGGCAGGTGGTGAGGCGGGCATCAGAGAGGATCTTGGAGACTTCCTCGATGGTAGTAAGGTCAAAGGTGCGGAGTGTTGGGGGGGCTTCAGTATGAGGAATGTAGGGTATTTATTTGTTTATTAATAAATAACATCAATTAACCATTTCAAGTACGGACACATTTACCCCCTTCTTGTCCAGGCCAATTTTCAGCTTTTAGCACTATCACACATTGAATGACAATTGCGCGGTCATGGAGCACTGTACCTATATGAATTTTTTTGCATTTTTTTGAGACAGATAAAACTTTATTTTGGTGGTATTTATAAACCACTGGGATTTTTTTTTTTGCTATATAAATAAAAAATTCCAAAAATTTTTAAAAAAAGTGTTTTTCTTGTAAACGTTTGCAAATAAATAATCTTTCTTAATAAATCTTGGCCAAAATTTATTCAGTTATCTTTTTAGCAAAAAAAAAAAATAACCCAAATTAGTTTATAACCAAAAATTATAATTTTTAAACATTTCTTTTACATTTTTATATTATTATTTATGGGTTTTTTTTTTTTTTTTTTTTACATACTGTCACCCTAGCAGTACAGTGTCACCATAGTACTGTACTACTTGTGGGGGGTGATGAAGATTTTTTTTTTTTACACCGATTGCAATTACACCCATAAAAGCTGTAAAAGCAATCATTTCTCCCTCTCTCTGGCTGCATTCTTGCAGCCATTGAGAAATACTGTGTGACCTATGATTGGTCACAGCTTGTCACATGGTACAAGGCTGATGTGAATAGCCTTGTACAATGTGACTTCTGTGATCATTCACAGATTTCACACGTAGTAAGCAAGGATGTCAGCAGTGACATCTTGCTTACTACTCTTCATGTGATCACTGATTGGGCAATTAGTGATCGCATGATCAGGAGGACCTCACATAGAGGTCCCATACAACGATCGGTGTTCCACTGCGTCCCGAGGACACAGCGGGCACCGGATTGTGGTGCTGCACGCTCCCAGGGAGTGCGCACAAGCAGGGAGCAGGGAGGCCATTTATAAATGGCCACCCACCCCTGCACTGCTCCCGTCCGGCCCATGTATACAAACGGTAAGTGGTTAAAAAAATAAAACAAAAGGAACTTATGCATTTGTTATAATTCTTGACTTATTATGAAAGTTTTATTGGCTTCTATCTACTGTGTGCTATAATTAGGCAATGTGTGAGTATAGATACCTTGCTGAGAGCCGCCACTCGCTGTGCCAGCTGAGCTTCAATCTCAGGAAGAGTCTCTGCTTTTTGGAGGGTCTGCTGTAATTTCTGTTTGGCGTCCTCCAGCCACTCCTGCAACTGCCGGTTCTTCTCTTCACTCTGTGGCAGGGGACACAAGTCAACAATGTTAACAATGATCAGTCAATAGTAACCAAGATACAACCCAGCCTCAAAAGCTCTTGAGGCTCTTTGCTATCTGTTCTAATGTACAATCTCTGTCATTTCCTTTTTCAGTAAGCCAATGTAGACTAATAGTCCAGCAACTCAGGGCCCATAATGGATTGGACAAAAACAGCAGCCAATGACCAGGACTCAAAATCTCATCTGTAGCCACTGTCCAAATAGCTAGGGAATAAAGTTAGTGGCTGCATCAGCTGCGAGCAATATTTGACTTTTAAAGTAGAATTCTGGTATTGATCTAACTCATTTTAAAACTGCCCCCTCCCTTAACACCTATACTAACTATCCTGTGGAATAAACATGCATATACCTATGTATTCTCAAACTGTTCCGGTCCGCTCATGTGAGCCACCGTCTGTCCACCAGCATGGGCTACAGGGCAGAGGAGAGAGTTCTCTGACAACAGCTGAGCAGTGACATCACCCATAGGCTTCCTATGGGCCCTCTGTATTTGACAGCCCTCTGTTGTCTCGCCTGAACCTGCTGCTAGCTGACAGTGGGGAGCTGATCACATGACTGGACAGGAACTGCTTGAAAATAGGTATCTTTCTTCCACAGGGTAAAGTTAATAGATTAGGTAGATTGATCACGGATTTTCATTTTAAGCAGTCCCATAATGCTTCTTAACCAATGACTGAAGCATCATGGGAGAATCAGAGGAAAACAGAAAATAAAGAAAGCAACAAAATGGCAAGGCTGAAGAACATATTTGAGGCTTATACAATATGGGGCATATTTATAGAGCAGTTAATATGACTTTCACCAAACATTCACTGCAGGTTAATCTTCCAAGTGCATGCTTTTTAATTGGCAGTGACTGATTAACCATCAGTAAATATTTGGTGAAATTCACATTCACCTCTTTATAAATATGCCCTTAAGATAAAAATCGTGTCCACAGCAGAGTGTATTTTCTGCTCTGGGTTGATTTTTCCACTTTGTCATCACTGCTCCCTCAGATAATACTGGTATACTGCTAAGTTTCTGAACAGCCATGACAACACAAACTTTGTTATCATTAGGATATGGTGGTCTTTTATGCAATGAACATGCGGTAATCCACATTTATAATATGTTATTTCATGTGTTTTCACATAGCAAACTTTTAGTCAAATAAATGTTTATTTAAAGTATATGCAGAGTATTAAAAGAAATAGAAAAACGTTTTGTATTACAAAACCATGGAAAACATTGCATTGTAGTCAAAGAGAATGCCAAGTAAAGACATTTGGGCAATAAACAGTAGGAAGCATAGATGCATCTGTGAGTAGACTGCAGTGTAAAGAAACCTATGCCCATAACAGCAAAATGACTACCATCCTGCATAAATGAATCACATTAGGGAAAATCACATGGGGGGGAATAAGAAAAAAGAAAAAGCATGACAAAAACAACACCAATTGTCGGGTTGTCGTGCAGCTAACCTACTAAGATTTGAAAGTGATCACCTAAGAGAAGTTATATAGTCAACCCGTAATAGGCACTAATTGAGGGGGAAGGGGAGGAACAATACCAGAGAGGAGGAGAACTAGCTCATTACTGAGATAGGTCAAAAAAGCCCCTTAAGGGGTATCTAATACCCAGAAATGCTCAAAAATAAAGAAAAAAAAAACAAATAAGAATAAATACAATTGGTGTTTCTGAGTTACTGAGAGACTATAGCTCGGAAGTCTACAGAGTCGCTATAAGCCCTCTAGAAGGTCCAGGTAGTGTGGACTTTTTCTGGGTCAGCGCTATCTTCCATCACAAGAGTCTCCATTGTCGTAATGTCACTGAGTATCTGGACCCATTCGAGAATATGAGGAGGTTTGGTTGTTTTCCAGTGCTGTGAAATAGCCACACATGCGGCCAACAGGCAATGGCATAAGATTCTCTTCTTGATGCTAGAGAAGGACCCAGGGATCATTGACAGGAGGGCAATTTCAGGAGAAGCCTGAACACCTTAGATACACATTGCATTATATGAAGTAAGGACTCCTTGCCAAAATTACGAGATCAGATGGCAACCCCACCAAATATGAAAGAAAGATCCCTCAATCTCCCCACACCTCCAACAGGTCTTGGGTAAAGAAGGAAACATACAATGTAGGTCTACAGGGGTAAACCATAAACTTCCATCTTGATACTTCCATCTTGTTCTAAATACTCCATACAACAGAGAAACAGTGTGATCTGTGAGGTCAGAGGAGTAGCAGAAGCAATGAACTGAGGGTTAGATTTAAGTCAGTGAAACAGAAGAAAGCCCTTCAGTTGCGTTAAGAAGAGCCAGTCACCATATAACAGAGCATCTGCTGGTATGGAGTCTGGGGCTCTGATGACAGAATATCCTGGAAGGAAATGCCGCAACTATGACCAATGCATGCAGGAGAGAGAGGAAATTATATTGGTCTGTAGGCCAGGGCCAAAAGAGGGGTTATCAAAGATGAAAGTCAGGGGGCTTTTACGATGAGATAGTTTGTGAGGTATGACAAGTCTATCCCAAACATCAGGGAGACATGGCAACAAAAAATGTAAAGTAGAGGGGTGGGGGCATTGAGCAAGGCCAAGCCAGGGTAAGGCTCATAGATTGAGTGGAGAAAGATCCTTTTCTATTTGGACTATACGCTTAGCATGGAAGCAAGAGAACCAAATAGCTTATTTAGCACTGCAGCGTGATGGTAGAGGGAAAAGTCAGGAATACCTAGGTCACCTGCCTTCTTAGGTACAAAGACTGCCATTTTCAAACAGGGTCGACGAGATCTCCAAAGTCTATGACCTGAATCTAAGGTGGGTGAAGAATTGTTTGGGTGGGACTATAGGTATCACACGATATAAAGGAATTGTGGTAAGATTTCCATCTTGAGAGTACTAATATGGTCAAACCAAAAGAGAGGTCTGGACTGCCAGCGAGACAGATCTCCAGTCACTTCTGTCAGGAGTCTCTGCTAATTTAGATGACAGAAGTTTCCTTGGCCTGAGGGGATGCACGTCCTTAGGTAAGTAATAAAATCAGTTTTAATTTGGAAAGGGAAATACCTCTGTAGCTGAGTCTGGACAGGAAGGGGAAGAGAGATATTCAGCAGTTCCGATTTGGAAGTGTTAATTTTATAATTGCTGCGGTCTCCAAATTAATCGAATTCTGGCATCACATTGGGAAGACAAATTACTGGTTAAGTCAGGAACAATAAGAGGTCATCGGCAAAAAAGGCTAACTTGTGAGACCCCCTCCCCTATTTGGAGACCCTTGATAAAAATATTAGTTCTAAGAGCAACCGCTAGATGCTCCATGAATAGAACATATAACAGAGGCGATAGGGGGCAACCCCTTCCAAATGCTGAGTGGCTCCAAAAGGGTGTCGTTAGAGCAAATCCTGGCTGATGAGTTATGATAAAGGGTTTTAATTTAGTGTACTAGAGTATTGCCTAAGCCTATTTGAAGCAGCGTTGCTTCCAGGAATGGCCAGCTCACTCTTTTAAAAGCCTTTTCCACATTGATTGATAGTAGACAGAGGGGAATATGCTGAGATTTAGCAAAGTGAATAATATCAAACACTCTGGTGGAATTATCTCTGCCTTCTTGAGATTTGACAAAAAACACTTGATCACCATATATCAGAGAGGGTACATGAGGTTGTGGGCGGTTGGCTATAAGTTTTTTTTTTTGCAGCAAGATTGTTGAGGGAAATTGGCCTATAGCTCCCACAGTTAGTTGGATCTTTACCCGACTTGGAAATGAGGGTAATCTAAGCTTCAAGGGTTTGGGAAGGGAAAAGACATTGGGGAGAAATATCACTGAATGCCTGCAAGAGAACAGGGGCCAAATGGTCCTCTAGAAATTTATAGAATCTGGCGAAATAACCATTAGGGTCAGGACTCTTATTACTTGGCAGAAAGGAGATTACTTGAGAGAGTTCTTCTGCGGTGAGGGAGATTTGCATATTTCCCTTTAATATTTTAAAGATCCAAATAAAAGGTCCTGAAAGCATTCGAAATTTCAGAGGGTCTACAGTATGTGTGAGGGAACCAGAGGCGTTACATATAGCAGAAAGCAAGTTAGTTGACTGTCTCAAATGCAATTTACAGGCAAAACAAATGTGGCAATTGTCTTCTAGCACATACTGTAAGTGGTGCGAAAAAAACTGTCCCTAACAGCAAAAAAGCGTCTGTCTATGAGCTGACGAAGTTGGGTTCTAGCATTGGATAAGCGGTGTAGAGCTTCATTAGATCTAGAGGATTTGTGGATGCTATCAAGTTGTCTTTTCAAGTATGTTTCGTGGGAGATGAAGATTCCTCTCAGCACACATTTCAATGCTTCCCATTGAACCAGACTGGAAGTAGTGTCATGAGAGTGATCTATAAGGAACTGTGACATAGTGATAGCAGATTTAGATACAACAACAAATTGAAGCACCATGGATGCTGTTTCTGCTCTGTGCATGGACTGATAAGTATTTATGGTTCTGGTTATCGCCTTGTTTTTGACCACAGATTTTAAGTAAAACAGCACTTGCATGCCTGCCCACAGCTCTTGACAGGTACAGTTTGCCAGCATGTCTTTAACTAACTTCATGGCAGATTTCTTCATTGTCTTACCTATGGGCATGCATATATATCTACTGCCTTGCATCCATCTGGATTGATTGCATTGAAGCAAACAACTGTCATGGATCCTACAGGGTCCTACAGGAGGAGTCACAACGTTTATGCTTTGCTACTTTGTTTTGGCTGCAGTAAAGTGGAACTTTAGTCAGAAAATTAGGTTATGATAGATTACTATTCTGGCCGCTTCTGCAGGTATACTGTAAACATTAAAAATAAGTGCCTATAACATTTAAAATCCAGTAAGGTATGGTCTCACCCTGCTCTGCGCATGCTCAGTTGCTCCCAATTATCGGCAT